CAGTAATTAGTCTATCACAGTCACCTTCTCCAGAAGTCAGGACCAGTGTTCTACACAAATACAAAATCCATACTGTATAAAGCACTATTCAAATGTGGGTTTCCATATCCTTCCTATGGGGTATGCAATATGCATAACAATCTTACATGAGAACCAAAAATAAAAATTAATCTAAACATTAACTCCCCTCCAATCACAATGGATAATCATATAGGCAATCCCATTAAAGATACCAATCCCAATAAAAAAAATTCTAGGTACACTTACCTTAAAATTCCCACTTAAATAAGAAAGCAAATCAGAAAAATTCATAAAGACAAATTAATGATAAATAAAATTTATATAGGAAAGTTAGCCCTAGCAGCTAACCTAAAGCACCTGTTTGTTTTATTTTTTAAAGACACTTTATTAATATATTATTTACGCATGCCTCACTTATTTACATAGTATAATTCAATGGTTTTTTTTCTTTTTTAAAATTTATTTATTACATACATGACAATAGTGGAGTGCATTACATTCATAATTATCCATTCACTAATTCAATGTTTTTAATGTATTTACCATATTGTACAACTATCACAAAAATCTAATTTTAGAATATCAACTTCCTAAAAGAATTTCCACACACTTTAGGAGTCAATCCTCATTTTCTCACCCTAAGGCCCCTAAATAATCACTAATATGCTGCTTATCTATATATGTTTGCCTATTCTGAACTTTTCACATAAGTGGAATCCTACAATATTTGGCTTCTTGGACTTAACATAAGTTTAACCATTTTGCAGCATGTATCAGTAATTCATTCCTTTCTAATATTGAATACAGTTGCTTTATATGGTATGCCACCTTTTGTTTGATCATTCAACAATTGATGGAAATTCAAATTGCTTCCACTTTTTAGTTATGAACATTGCTGCTGTAATAACATTTCTGTACTAGTTTCTTAAAGTACCTGTTTTGTTAAGTACGATTAATTAATATGCTAATGATGCATGAATAAATAAATCAGTAGAATAGAATAAAAAAGACCAGAACTAAACTAAAATACATATGGACATTTAGATTTGGGAGATGGTTTATTAAATGATTTGAGAAAATTTGGTTTATTCAGTAAATGGTATTCAGGTTTTTAAAAAGTAACCATGAACCATCTCACTCCTTATGTCAAAATAAATTCCAGGTATGTCAGAAACTAAACTGTAAAAGATCATTAAAGTACTGTAATAAATATAAGAGTAAAAATAATTCAGAGTGGGTCATGTCTTTAAACTTATGACACAAACCCCAGAAATCAGAATATATTTATTTGATTTATAGAATACCATTAGAAGAAAGTCACAAAGACAAATGACACATTTGCAAAACATTTCCAAAGCATCTCACAGTTGAAGGACTAGTTTTCTTAGTATATTAAAAAAAAAATCTGTAACATAAGTTTAACCATTTTGCAGCATGAGAATTGGTCAAAAGGGAGACTAATGGTTCTTAAAAACATATGAACAGATACTCACTCGAGTTCACTCATAATTAAAGCAATAGTAATTAGAACTACAATTAGATGATGTTTTATATCAATAAGGTTAGCAAAATTCAAAAAGTTGCTAAAGATCTGTGGGGGCAAGATTGTGGGGACCGAAGACAGTTCAAGTATTATCGAAGACAATTTGGCAACAGCTAATGATATTGTAAGTTCTGTTTCCAAGAATTTGTAAACAATTCTATTGCTAAGAATTTACCCTTCTTAAATACATGGAAAATTCACTATATAATTTCAATTGCAGCATTAATCAAGTTGGTTGAAACTGATACTCCAGGCACTCTTCTAAGTGCTTGGCACCTATTCGTGGAATCCTCATAGAATCCCATGAGGTCATAATCAGTCTCATTTTAGATACAAAAACGGGGCACAGTGAGGGTCAATAACTTGCTAAAGTTCATACTGCTAGTAAGTAGTGGCCCTGGAAGTCAGCCCCAGGTAGGCTGGTACCAGATTTTGCAGATTTATTCATCATGCTCAACTCTATAATAGCAAGACTGAAACAATGTCCATTGAGAAGGACTGGTTCACAAAGTCCAGTGCAGCCATTAGAGAGAATAAAGGTCGATCTGGGTAGAGAATAGTGATGGGAGGGGAGGGGAGGGGAGGGGGGGATAGGGAGGGCAGCAGAATACAACTGACACTAGGATTGCTGTGTGTATACACACGGATGTATAACCAATGTGATCCTGCAATCTGTACACGTGGAAAAATGAGAATTCATACCCCATTTGAATCAAATATAAGATATGTCAAGATCATTGTATTGTCTTGAGCAACTAATAATAATAAAAATAAATAAATAAAAGATCTGCAAGGTATACTACTAAATGAAAATTCCTGGACAGAACTCTGCATATGCTTTTGTAGTGAGTACATGCCAGTGTGTATCTGTATATTTAGGATACCTCTGGAAGAAAATACAATCAGTTGGTGATGAGCCGGGGGTGACCGGACTTGGTATTTGGGGACTGAGGATCAGGGATGGAAAGGGGGCCTGCTTTCCCTTAGAAGCCTTTTTTTGTAATTTTTGGAGTTCTTCATTTACAATCATGTTGAGCATCTTCAGGGGGCCCCATACCTGACTCCTGAACCACCTGAGAAATAAGAGGACTCAGAAGATAAAAATCAAAATATCATCTTTATTATGAATATGGCCAACATGGGAGAATGTAGCTTATACTGTAGCTGCAAAGAAGAGGATATCAGAATTCTGAGCTCCATAATCAACTCAGCTGGACCAAAGAAAGTCTTCCCTGCTCCATGAAAGCAATTCAGTGGCTCAGCCTGCCCCTAAGGACTCCCAGAAGAGATCCCATCCTCTTTGAAACGTACACCCAAAAGATTTTTAAAAAGGAAGAGGAAGGGCAGATGGCATACGCCCAGTTCCTACTCTCAGTCTCACGTCAGACAGGACGTCCCAGTTGGGAGTCCGCAAGGAGTATTACACCAATGGAGCCTTTGTACAGGGAAGGAAGCAGGGGCGAGAGAGAAGCAGCAATCACAAATCGCTCGAAAAATCCATTAGGGCTGGGGGTGTAGCTCAGCGGTGAAACGCTTGCTTAGCATGAATGGAGACCCTGGGTTCCATCCCCAGCACCAAAAATAAAGAAAAGAAAAAAATATTCATGATGTTTAAAAATCAAGGTAAAGAAATTGAGGTTCAAGATGATGAAATAATTTATTCAACATCACACAGCTAGTAAATGACAACGAAAATTTAAATCAAGTCCTCTGCACTAAAATTCCTCGCATCTTGCCTCAGTACCATAGCTGCCCCACAGCACTAGTGGCAGCGGACCCAGAAAGGCAAAGTCAGGTGGCGTGATAGAGCCTTCGAGAGCCTATGTCTTTCCAAGATAGAGCAGCTGCTTTAAGCAGCTGGATTTGAGGGAAAAGCCAGTAAAAGAGGGTTTGATAAAGGCGGAGGCTCTTGGTGGGAGTACCCAGGTTTAGGAGAAAGTCCGGTTTAGGCAAATAATCCCTTGAAGAGGCCACAGCAGGAACAGAGCAGCCAGCCCCACGAGGGTCAGCAGAGCCCCGGGAATTGTCATCTCCCTTTGGCTGACTGTAGGAAGCTCAGGGAAAACGCTGATATGAAACCCGTCTGCCAGCCCCACAGCTAGAAGTCACGTTGGCTTTCCCATTCAGAGCCCCAAGATCAAAGGTATACAGTGTCCTGTGGCCATCAATTATATGTGCTGTACCAAATTGATCATTCTTTTTCTTGAAGCTTCCTATTTTTAATAATGTGTCCTGAATTGGATCGATCAATGTCTGCCTCTCACCTTGTACAATGGGATGTCCTAACTGAGCCTGAACTGGATTGCCATTTGCAGAACCAGAGGGCTAGTGGCCCTTGTTGCAAATTCCACATATGGCCACAGAGGGGGACTGGAGCTGTGTTTTGGTGCAGGGGAAAGGGAGCCCTTTTGATGTTATTTGAGACCGGCAGGGAGGGAGGCTGTATGGAATCATTCAGGCTTAATATTCACACTCTCATCCCTTCCCAGACTGCTGAGGGGTTTGACTTCCCTGCCTATGGAGAGAGAAGTCAGGGTGCAGACTGACACACTGTGCTCATGAAAGACTTTTGTTCAAGAGTCTGGATCTAATCACAAAGGGCACATGCAGAGTCCTATCAACAGCCAATCTCCCCGTCCTAACCCTGCTCACATCAGGGCTGCTTGAGTATCGCTAAGACTGAGGTTGGTCAGCACCCCCATTAGAAGGAACTATGGAATTTTGAAGAGAGGGGTTCTGATGAGGAACACTGACGCAGGCATGGGGAACCCTATGAACTCCCGGAAATAGCAGGAGAGGCACTGAACCGGGAAGGGAAATGCAGCTACGCAGATGAGAGCTCCAAGTATTGGAGAGTCTGGCCCTAATGACAATATCACCTCTCATGTTCCCATGGCTGCTAATGCCATGATCTTGATTCATGTTTTCTGATTTGAATGGATATGTCACTTGGTTCCTCATTGATCAGAAGCAGCATCCCTTCACTCTGATAGCAGTTTCCCATAAAGGTTTTGATGAATGGCCAACAGTCTTTTCCTCAAGAGAATCTGAGATCTACTGATTTAATCTAACTCCCCTTGGTGGGGTGGGACAGCATTTAATACCAATTCAGAAATATATATATCAGGGATTGAACCCAGAGGTGCTTAACCACTGAGACACATCCCCAGCCATTTTTATTTATTTATTTATTTATTTATTTATTTATTTATTTATTTATTTATTTTTCGAGACAGGATCTCCCTACATTACTTAGCGCCTTGCTAAGTTGCTAAGGCTGGCTTTGAATTTGGAATCCACCTGCCTTCACTTCCCAAGTCACTGGGATTATAGGCATATGCCACAGTGCCCGGCTGGAATATAACACATTTTAAGGAAGTTTTCAAGAAATACTTTTTCCAGTAATACCCTAGGAGGAATTAGTCATACCCTGGAGTTCATTAAACATGGATCAGAAATTTATTGGATAACAAATAAAAATGACTTTCTGACCCACCCTGACCCAGATGCAGGAGAACTAACGTCTGGAGATGTTGTTTGATTGTAGCCCCGCTCAGTGTGATCTACTACAGCTCTTCTGACTGTCACCGTTGTTAACTCATCACAAATGATTTGCTGGCGAGTTGAGAAAGTCCTTCAGAAAGCCTGAGAGATCAGAATCAGTCCCCGAGATGTGGGCCAGTTGTCATGGTGATACTATTGTAGCATCATCACTTTATTTATGAACTAAATAAAAGAAATCTTCAGTCACATCTGTTCAGTATGAGCCATTTCCTTTGGAGTCAGGACATATAGGAGGACCTTCCAAGAGTTGCCTACTTTGTTGGGGAATAGAAAAAGGAAAATTCAGTTGAGATCTATTGCCTACCTGAATGCTTCTGCAGCAAAAATTGCAAACTCTCTCATGGGAGCTTCCTGGGGACTAAGACCAAAGTTGGTTTGCAGGGCTGAAATCTGATGTCATGACTGCAAAACTCATTGGTCAGTCAATGTGGAAGCTTGGCCCCTGGGCCTTGTGTTGGCCTCCTCCAAGCTTAGATGATGTGAATGCAACTGGGTTCTCCAGAACCCAAGAATGTCAAAGTAGCAGGGCCCTTGCTTCAGGTTACCACATTTTAATTGCCCTAGTGGGAGGAAGCAGACCTTGACAGCAACAGCTTGCTCAACTCCTTGCTAAACATATAGTGCTGGCTTCCACTGTCACCTTTCATAGCACCCTGTGTTTCCCCTTACTCCAAGTGACAACCTTATAGTTGTGTGTTTCGGTGGTGGTTTGTCTCCCTCGCATTTTATACCACTCCATGTAGGCTGATGCTATTTTTTTTTTGCTCACCATTATATCCAGCATCCAGCATGGTTCTTATTGAATGAATGAATGAATGAATGAAGAAATGAAGGGAAAATCCTAGGTAGTAAGGGAATGGGGGTTCCAATTTACAGAGAAGAAAACAGGTTCAAAAACATAAAGAGCTGCCCAAGGGCATGCCTTAAAGAAGTGACAAAGAAGTTGGTTTGCAAAAACATAGATCGTGATTGTGTCGCAGAGGGAGTGGTCGCTGGTTGTTCTGCCCATGTCCCCCACCCTCCACAGATCCCAGAGTCCTGGAGGACTAACAGCCAGAAACACCATGGGAGCTACCACTTTGCTTTCTCAGGCCTCCTGCTCTGGCCACCGTCAGAAAACCCCAGGGAGAGCACAAGTCCTTACAGCCTTGGCTTGGGATTCCAGCTTCTCCAGGCCACAGACTCGTGTGTCACCCTATGTCTCGCATTATGTTTTGTTTTTTCCCTCTTTCCTTGAAATGTTCCTTTTACACTTTTGTACCCAGGTTGGGGTCTATTTTGTAATTATGTCTACAGTCTGCATTGCCTAACATGTGCCTGAGCATAAAAAGAAAAAAGAAAAAAAATTAAAAAGCCAGAGGCACTTGCATCTGTTATTTTTTGCTTTGTGTGCACTTCAGAGCTTAGCAGAATCACCCCATGGTGGCTAGAGGATCTTCCAGACAGTTGAGACCAGCACTGGTGTTTCTGATGCTTTCCCAAAGGGAAAGATGAACAAATCACGCAGTCTCTTCTCTATTTAGGAACTGGAGAGACCTGAAGATCAGGTCGCTGTGGGGCACAGCACCCAGAACAGAAGAATCAAGAATGGAACTTACCAAGGACGTGGGATTCACAGGAGAAGCTTGGCTGTTCTGGGGGCCTCTACCAAGGCCTTTACCTGTAGCCACCCAAGAGAACAGGAGACACAAAGCTAAAGGGCAACTTCCTTGCCTCAAGACTAGGGTTAAGACTCCAGAGACTGTCCTCTCCCACCCACCCCTTCTCAAGGAGACCTCTCTGTGCCCGCTTACCTGGGGTCTCAGAAGCTCCTTCCTTTGACAGGAGGAGCCTTGGATCCAGAAATTCCTAAACAAAATGTTTCAATCAAGGAGTAAGGCTGCCACCAAAAGCTGGTGTGCTGTGGAAGCAGGTGACCCTCCAGATAAGAAGGGCATGCTGTGGTGGTCTCAGGGCTTCCCTCCGCCCTGTCTACACACACCTCCAGTAAGAAGGCTACAGTGCTCCTCTGCCCTCTCATGATATCTTTGTCACCGTGACACAGATATTTCCCCCAGCCCATGGACTGGCCACCTTGGTCTCTAGGTGCACAGGCAATAAGAGGGGAGCCACATTGATTCATTGAAAAACTGCTCCTTGACCTTTTTCACTGCCAAAGGCTACTTACCCCTTCTATTCCTTTGACTTCTCCTTCTCTTGGACAAATGACTGATTATAAAGATGATCCCCAAACTGGTAAGCAGTACATAAATGATAAGGATGGACATCCTGGAAGGAATTAGAGCCAATTTCACGTCCCTTGGAAGGAACCACCATTTGGTTTTCTGCTCCATTTCGCCTTTTCTGAGATCTGCAACCGACACTCCCAACCCAGCCATAGTAGCTCCTGGAAATTGTATTGCTTTAGAGTGACCCTGTCTCCCATGGACCACACATGCATAGACCTAGTGGACATCTGATCAGGCTGGGCCAGTGAGCCCCTTCCTCAGAAATCAACTGGGAATTGAGATTAGGAAGATGAAGTCTCAAACTGGCCAGTCTCATGAACGGAGAGGGATAAATCAAGATGCCTTATTTTGTGGCAGAAGGAGGAGGAGGAGGAATAAAGGAAATATCAAAGATCAGTACAGAAAGAAAAAGAAGCAAAAAACATACAGGAGTAGCCGATTACAAGGGGAGATGAAGTCTGCAGATACTCCTGGCAATTTCAGAGGTAGCTTCATCCCAGCCCCAGCATTTGAGACACTGCTCACTCCTTAAAATAAATGCCCCCCCCACCTCCCGGGTTAAATTAAAGTAGCTAAAGGCAATTTTTGCTGCTTCTAAACAAGAGTCCTAAACTATTTATATATAGATATTTTTCTTTTGAGGTACTAGAGATTGAACCTATGATCTTGTGCATGTTAGGCAAGAGCTCTGTGTTTTTTTGTTTTTTTTTTTTTTTTTGGTAATTAATTTATTCTTTTTTTAAGAAACCAAATAGTCCTATTGAGGATAGGTAGTTCAGGTGGAAAGTAATATGCACCTGGAAAGTAGTATTATGTTGTTGGATCCCTTCCTTCCACTCCCTTCCCAAGCCCATCTGTCTTCTAAGACTCACCCGGAGCGGTCGGCCTTGTGGATGATTCTGGAAGCCCTGCAGCTTCTGTTCTTGTTGCCTGGTGAGTCTGAATCACAAAGGATTACTGAGTAAGTGGGGCCCATACCCAGGTCCTTCCTCGGGGCCTTCCAGCTGCCATTCACAATCTCCAGAGAGCGAGCACCTATTGACTTCCAGCAAAGCATCGGCACCAAGCACAGTTGTATAAATGTGCCCTGCACAGGAATCAAGACTAAGGAGACAGGTCGGGAGTGGAATCCAGGCCATGGTCACTGGACCCCATGCTCCTGAAGCACCTTTTCCAGGTTTGTATGAAGGCCCCACGTGGACTACAGATAGCCCGCGGTAACAGACCCAGGCTGAGGGCCACTCCCATAAGTGGGAACAACCAGAAGGCCAGTCCTCGGCTTAAGGAACAGATCAGTAGGTGATGTAACTGTCACATGCTTCTGACAACCACAAAGAACTCAGTGGGAGAAGTCCCACCACAGTCACCCACATTGCCTCCTCTGAAAAGATTTGGAAGGGGCGTGTTTATCTAAACTGAGGAACACATTTAGATGGACTTCTGTCATCCTGAGCTTCAAACTCAGGACATGCTCTACAGTGAAATAAAAGCAGAAGCACACAAAGCAGGAAGACACCACAGTGAATGACACCACACATTCCCTGTGACACTGGCTAGGTCAAGCACCAGCAGGTCAAGTGTAAACAAGGATCTCTTTCCAGCCTAGGAAGGGGTAGGGTGGGGATCCCTTAAGTCCTCTGGTCTGTTTTCCTACTGTCCTTGTGCTCCAGATTGTGATTAAAGTCTTTACTTCTAGAAGTGAAAACAATAAGAAGCCCCCCTCCCGAAAGACAAAGGCTTTCAGGTGCAAAAAGAAGTTTCCAGGATTCAGCAGAAGGAGTTCATGAGTGAGCATCTGCCCCCAACTAGCCTCTTCCAAGGCCTATCAACCGGATTGCCACAAGGGAAGGGATGTTCCAACAGTGGACAGTGGCCCCAGGGACCAGACACACTCGCTTTCCCCAGACTCCCAATTAATCCCAGCACCATGCATGACTACCATACCTTGGAGGGAGAGACCATGTCACCCCCAGAGAACCAGGGGAGAGCCTGAGTTGGTACTCCCATCTTCTGAGTTTTTACCACACAGACAAATGCACAGCCCCCTGGGTTACCCAAGTAAAACCACTGACAGCCTCTACCTTTTCTAGACCAAAACTCATTGGCCTGGCCTCCTCTGCTGTCAGTCACAATCAGCTCTGTAAAATCCATGTCATCCCTGGCAAAGTCTCGCTGGATGCCACACCAGTACCAGCTCGTGTCTTCCTTGGTCAGGCAGGACACAGTGATAATGAATTGGCTTCCTGTGTCCTTCAGGGCCACACGGTCCGTGCTGTTGGGGGTCAAAGCAATGATGTGGCAGTAATCCCGGAAATAGCCTCGGCACCAATATTTGGTATGATGCTTATAGTGGGCGTCGTAATTGCAGCTGGCAGAAGCTGTGCCTAGCATGAAGCTTTCCTTCACTTTTTTGTCCATGACCATGGCATCTGTGAAGACACACACACACACACACACACACACACACACACTGTTATTCTTCCAAGCATGCTGCAGTTTCTCCCCGCCCGTCCACCTGAAAGATAATTAAAGAATTGGAGGCTGGTTTTTATTGCCTGTTTTCGGTAGACAGCTGAGCTGTGTCCTGCTAAAATTGGTTATAGAATATCTTTGGACAGAGGTCTTTAAAAGAGGTAATCAAGTTAAAGTAGGATCACATGAGATTGTCCTTAATCTAATATGGTTAGCATCCTTAATAAGTGAATAAGAGATTAAGATATGGAAAGAGGGATGAACATCTGGGGTCACAGCAAGAGGATAGCCTACAATGAGCCAAGGAGAAAGGCATCAGAATGAAACCACATCTGCAGGCACCTTGGTCTTGGACTTCTTTCTACCCTCCATAACTGTGAGGAAATACATTTCTGTTGTTTAAGCGATAGACTGTGGTATTCTGTTATGGCCGCCCTAGGAAACCAACATGGCAACCCCAGAGAAGTCTCTATTCCTGGTCTAAGGGACAGTGCACTAGAGGCCTCTTGCCATTGCCTGGTGGGGAGCCTGGAAGAGCCGGAGGTTCTCTGTCAGCACACCCTCTGTCCCTGGCTACCCACCCTACCTTGGCAGCCTCAAATAGAAAGTGAAAATTGTGGAGGCTTCTACTGGCTGCATGGGGCTGAAGTCAGAGGGGCTCAGGTTCTGAGCCAGGAGTTTACTATCTCCTCCATGCAAGACTGGCCATGGGCACCTCTATCACGTCAGGATATTGCCTACTGAGGAACTCATGCACAACAGGTCCAGCAAAGAAAAGAGATGGCACGGCAGAGCTCATCCCTCTCAGCCCTCCAGCTGCTGTGTGCTAGGCTTGGGGTGTCACCAACCTGCAAAGCATGTTCACATCCTAGATGTCATTTGTTCTCCTAAAAAACCCACAGGGAGGATCGCATGATCCTCGGGGTGGGGGTGGGGGGGTCACACTGACACTGACCCAGAGACCAATGCAGCAACTCCAAAGGTGACACTGCTGAGCGGTGACACAGCAGGGCACACCCCATGCTCTGAGTGAGTCCCATCTTCGGTGTCAGGCATAGGCAGAAGGAAAAAGTAGTGTGGACACATCTGCACAGATATTTTTGAGGGGAAAAAAAGGAAGGGAAGGGGAATTTGGGTAAACTAAAAGAGAAAAAAACAGAGCCCTCATTTTAACCAAGGGTTCCAAGCTCCCAACAATCTTGTCAGAGGTAGGTTCGAGAATTAATAGAGACAAGACCTGTTTTCACCTTTTATTTCCCCACTCATTTAGGTGGCTCGAGCTGATAAGTAGGGACTCCAAACAGGAAGAGAGAAGAAAATGCAAGGTCTCCAGGAAGGTCACAGCCTGGAGGGCAGAGGTGTTCCTTCCTCTTGTCTTACCTGAAAGAAGAGCGAAGGAGAGCAGGTCCCATGACTGGACCTTCAACTGGAACGACAGGAAGAACCCAGGGACCTCAGGAATTTCTGGATCTGTTCAAGGAAAAACAGGTGTGTTTGGGCTTAAGAGTTTTACCCCTCTTTGGAGAGATCAGTGAAAAGTGGGAACCACAGGTTATTGCAAGCAGTCCTGGTGTGTATAGCTAGCCCAACTGTCCACTGAACGATGGCACCTCATCAGAGGGATGACATTTACCAACACAAACTTATTATTTATGGGGCAACTAAGAATATTCTGGGCTTCCCAGCAGAGCCAAAAATAGCCATGGAGACACCCCTCCTGGATAAACCTACTCTGGCACATGGCGCTGTGCCGACACTCAGAAGAACACAGACACACACGTCGCTGCTGGCACACATTAGGTGTGCAACCACACCCTGTCTTGCTAATGCTCTGGGTATTATCAGAGGCCACTGCTTTTGCCCCTTCACCACTCCTGAGACCAAATGCCTATCCAGATGGGGTGGGGGGGAATCCCAGCAAAATTCCTAACTAACCTAACTCCCAGGGGAATGCTGCCGGCTCACCTGGGGAATGTGGTTAGGAGTGGAGCATGCCAGCTGTCAGGAGCAGTTGTGTCTGAATCTGCAACACGGGAGCAGGCAGAGGGGTGAGTATTTTGGTGTCAGCAGCCCGGGCAGCAGTCTTCAGAATTCTTGAGAGCTTTCCTAGATAGAGCCGGGACAAATCAGGGAGGTCTGTCCATGAAGCAGCAGCAACGGCAGCAGCTTCCTCTGATTCCTAATGGGACTCATCCTCTGACCACTCATTTTAAGTTTGACTCCTTGAACCACCTTAATTTCTTGAAGCTGGTTGCTACTTATCACACTCCAGAGCTAGCACTCTCACCAAGGGCCGGATGTGGATGGTTTTCTAGATCATGCAATAATGTCTTCCTTCAAGAAAGGAGAGCCTTCTTCTAACACACAGGAACTCAGCATCTGGGCCAGCAGTAAGTTTGTATCATGGTAGGTGTTTTGCCTACATTAATTCATTTACTCCTTCAAAAACCTCTATGAGTTTAACAAACAAATTGCATGGGGGGTGGGGGTGGAGTGGAAGGAAGAGAAAGAGAACCCATAGATTAAACTGGATTAAAGAGACATAGGGACAAATACTTATTTGCATCCTGTTTTAAAATAATTCATGTCATTAGGTAGTTGATACGGATAAGAAATATTAAGAAATAATTATTAATTTTGTTTCAGATGTGATCATGGTATTATAATAGCCAGACTTCAAGATGGCTCCTGGTGTACATGCCCATATGTATGGTCACTCTGAAATTGATCATACAGGCTGGTCTGTGTGAGCAACAAAACATGGCAGACATTATGGTGTACACTTTGGATGCTAGATCATAAGAGGTTTGCAACTTCTACCTTAGTCTCTTATGCTGACCCCTCTTGGGGAAGTCAACCACCATGTCCTGAGGACCAAACAGGCTATAGAGAAGCTCAGGCGGAAAAAAGCCAATCTGCCAGGCATGTGAGAGCCACCTTGTAAACAGATCCTTCAGCCACAATCAAGCCTTCAGATGACTGCAGACCCAGTAACCTCATGAGAGACCAGGAGCATGAACCATCCAACCAAAATATCCCTTGAATTCCTGACTCACGGACAGGACAGCACAAGATATAATTGTCATAAATCTCTAAATTTGGGGATAATCCCTCATGCTACAGTGAATAATTAATAGAGATATTATAGTCCTATTTGTGTGTGTGTGTGTGTGTGTGTGGCTGGGGATTGAACCCACGGCCTTGTGCATGCAAAGCAAGCACTCTACCAACTGAGCTATATCCCCAGCCCCACATAGTCCTATTTTTTAAAAGCAGTTCTTTCCTCTGTCAAGGCTCTATTGCTCAATATTGCTCAGAAATGTTACTATGAAACCAAAGAAAATGCTGGCAGAAAGAGGAACAGATTATGCGCAGATAGGTAACAGCAAAATGCCCAAGATGTGAAAATGTCACATGTAAAGCAAATGAAAGGGCTAGAGTTACAGAGAATGACCGATGTGTGTCCTAGCCTGCTGAGTACAGCTTGTTGTTGTGAGTTCCACTGCTCTACCTGCAGGGTAGAATTAATTTTTATTCTATTTAGATGTGTCAATAAGAAGGCAAATGGGAACTAAGAATACGCTGAGTGAGAACTTTAAAACATCTTTAATAAGTACAAAAACCAAAATGTTTACAGATGAAATCATTTCATGTCAGGACAACAGAGTAAGGCAAGTGGGTGTGGCCACAAATGAGACAAGGTTGACCATAAATTGATCATTTTTAAAGCAGGATAACGGATATTTGAGACTCATTACTGTAGTTACTCAAGTTTGTATATTAAAAAGTAAAAAACGAAAACACTTTGACTTGAGTGTCAAATGAGGAAAATGGAGGTTCAGAAATTTAAGGAGCTGGCCCAAGTTCACACACCCAGTAAAGCCACTGGGATCTGATGCTACATTTGGAGAGGGTAAGGGGAACAAGTAAAAAGAAAAAAGAAAAATTCCTCTTTCCATTATAGTATACTTGCTTCCCCAACTGCAGCAATACATAAAGTTGTAGAGCACTTTAGAGTTTACTAAAAGACTTTACATACTGTGTCATCTGAGTGACTGGGGCAAGATGTGGCCCAAACTTTCTTATTCCTTCCACTCAGCTCTAGTATCTAAAGGCAGAGTTTCTGTAGAAAATGTGCACTTAGTTGTAAGAAACTGAATACACACAATGGCGAGACCATATAAAAACAGAAATCTGACTCATAACCTCCAGCAACCCGCTCAAAAGCCAACACCTTATCTATAATATACAATAAACCAGCCTGTGCTAAGTTAGGCTTAAAGGAAATCAGATTATTATCTCTAGTGACAATTTAGGAAGCCAAAAATAAACCCTATAACAATCCCCACAAATTGCTAGGAGTTAATTAATAAGTGATGTCATCCCATTTTTTTTTTTTTGTACTAGGGATTGAATCTAGGGGCACTTAACCACCGAGCCACATCCCCAGCCCTTTTTGTATTTTATTTAGAGACAGGGTCTCACCAGCTTGCTGAGGGCCTCACTAAGTTGCCAAGGCTGGCTTTGAACTCACAATCCTCCTGCCTCTGCCTCCCGAGCTGCTGAGACTACAGGCGTACCCCACTGCACCCAGCCATTCCCCAATTTTTGTCCCAACTTCCAACTTAGGACCAACCAGATATGCACCCTCAACCAATCATACAAAATGCCCCCACTTCAGTTAGCCTACAAGTTCCCCATCCTAACACCTTCCAATCAGGACACAGTTGAAGTCTTTCCTTTTTCCCTCTGTTAAAAAAAGTTACCTGGACTTCAGTGGCTTCAGCACCTTGAGTTTCTCCATAGTCAAGTTGAAACCAACTCAGTGTAAAACCATAAAACAGCACTTAATTTTAATCAGAAACCACCCAACTGGCCTCTAATGTGGGACTTCGATAAATACATCAAATCAAAATTCACTTGATCAGTTATACAAATAATGTACAAATATATTTGTCTTGCTTCCGCAAATGCCTTCTAAAAGTCCCCCCACCCCAACCCCTCTCAGGGTCGTCCTCAACTACTTGCTGTCTAGTGCAGCCCAGTTGAATGCTCAGATAAGCTCATTAAAATTTTAGTGTTTATCTTTATCCTTTAGCCTTCCCACTCCTCTGCCTGCCTGTGAGCATTTTCCAAAGGCTAGCGATGGTGGTCATCTTCTTTGCTACAGCAAGCTCAGAATAAATAGACTTTGCTTCTTCTCACTAAGCGGGTCTTTGTTTATTTTCACACTCAACTCAATAAAATAATAATTTTAAAAGGTAAGCAAACCCAGTTACTCAACGTTCACCTTCGTTCTAGATTCTTCCTATGGAGAAGATGGAAGCAAATCTCCGTTTTATCTGGGTGGTCCTTTAACCTACTCTCTTAGAATAGAAGCCCACAGCTACCCTTTACTATCTGGCTGCACAAGGACCCACAGGAGACTCCCGTGACACTAATCTCTAAACCTGAAATCAGGGTGGCTCTCCCTATGTCTAACCAACCTCCTCACCAATGATTTTTGGTTCGTCTTTTTGAGTTTACTCTAAAAAGGATATTTTCTCTCTAAGGACTTCCTCTGGGCTAGTGTAACACCTTATTTCAAGAGATTCCTATTTGGCAAAAAAATGCAAGCTGTTGTGGCAATCAGGGGTTCGGGGGAGAAAAGGGGAAGGGAGAGAAAAAAATAAAAGTAGTTTTGAGGGCTGGGGCTGGGGCTGGGGCTCAGTGGTAGAGCGCTTGCCTCGCATCTGTGAGGCCCTGGGTTCGATTCTCAGCACCACATAAAAAATAAAGGTATTAAAAACAACAATAAAAAAAGCAGTTCTGAAACCCAGGAACTAAGGCTCGTCGAATGATATCAAAGGACCAGGACAGTTAGGTGCTCTGACTTGAGGGAAGTAGTGACTTTAAATCAAGTTTCCAAAAAATAAAGGGCGGGCAGGGGCTACATGTTGCTATAGCAACTGGGTTAGAGAGTAAATTAAGAGTCATAGTGTGAAGATTACCAGGAAACAGAGCTCGACAGCACTTCCCCTTCATTCTCCAACAGGGTAGAGTTTATAAACTCAGGACCTCTATCTGGGGATGTTCATTAACTAAAACCAAAAATTAAGAAAGGGGTAAAGTTCAAACTTGATACTTCCTGGCTTGAAAGAAAGAGAAATAAGGACCCTTTGCTAAAATAGCAATGTTAGCAAAATAAATTTGGTTACCAGGCTCTGGCCCAAGATTAGGTTTAGGAAATATTTCCAGGAATGGCTGAGATACCCTTATGTTCTTGGTTTAATTGGAACCTTCATCCTGCTGCACTTGTCAGTTTAATACACCTGGAGTGAGCGTCCACACACAGCTGCAGATTTGGAGGCCAAGCCAGAGATGCCTGGAGGCTCCTGGAATGCCTGGAGCCACACTCAATGTGGGAACAATAATGAGTGACACCTGTCCTGTCAATATCCTGATTAATTAAAGATCAGCAAAAGTAGCTAAGGCAAAACCCCCACCAATTGTCACATATATACACTGTAGCTTGAACCCATCCATCTGTTAATTGTACATAAGGTGAGCTTGAGAGTTTGGATTTGAAGTTATCAGCGCTTCCTTAGTGTCTGAGAATAGATGGCAGGAAGCTTGGATTTTTCCCCTAGGGCAGGCCTGAGCTTAAATCCACTACTTGTTAATCATGTGAATCACAGGCAAGTTACTTCTCTGTTGCATCAGTCTGTTTTTTCTGTGAAAGGGAGATAAAAAAAATAGTTGCAGTACCTACCTCATAGATTGTTGGGACCAAAGGAGACTGTGCACATGGAATGCTTGATGCAGAGAAAGTATTCAATGAATAAACTGTTGGTTGTCTCTTTTTGCCCTACACCCACTACTCCTCTTAGAATGAAATGCTAGGGGAAATGATCAGGGCTCTTTCTCGAACAATAGGTGAATAGTTTATAAAGTTGGCAAGTGCTCTGATCAGCCCAGGAATCAGGAGCAGGGTGTCCTGGGGAAACTGGTAAGAAGGTGAGCATGCCATCTAGCTCCAGGTAACCAGCAGGCTGAATGGCCCAAGCAGCTGGCTGGGTCTTCAAGCCCCAACTGACCAGCAAAGAGCCATACAACAGTTAGTGATCATCTTTTATTTACACAAATACATCTCCAGGTGAATTCAGCAGTGTATGACCCCCTTCAGCTCAATTCAATCCTCCTGTTCCCACCCTCTTCTGGGAATCTTCTGAGAGCAGGTTCTCTTCTAGAACTCAGACACCATCACATAGGTGTCCATCCCAGTTAGAACCTCCTGTCAGTAAGTCAAGCAGACACCCTTCCAATTCCATGACTCCTTCTGTTTGGGAAGGAGGAACACAGTCATTAATACACTATCCCTCAAGTAGGGCCTCCAGGAAATTGAATTAGAAAAGAACAAGGAAAAAATAATGGAGTGGAAGAAGAAGGTAGTAGTGATGGTATCATTGCAGGCAACTAGCCTTCACTGGGCTCCTGACCTAGTGAAGGAATCAAGGGTACCTGGTTAGAAGGATAGGCCCACAGTGTTGATGCTGAATCCAAAGGTCAATGAGACAGAGGCATTTTTCCTGGACAACTACCCAGAAATTTGCTCAGTGCCTGGGTTGGTGGGATCAGAGGACTGGCAGACTCTACAGGTTTTGAGGATCAAAAGGTAGGTTTCCTTGAACTTCCTTATTTTGCAAGCATAGATGATAGGGTTCATCATGGAGTTTGCATGGGACAGCAGGATGCTCAGGAGCATCACATACTCTGGCACCTCAATGTTAAAGTACAAAATACAGTTGATGAAGGACAAGGGCAGCCAGCACAGAGCGAACCAGAAGAGAACCAGAAACAGGGACCTGGCTGTCTTGAACTCCCGCCCATAATACAAACTTGTCTCTTTGGAGCCAGAAAAGCTCTGATTGAGTTTGTTCCGGATGACATAGAAGATGTCCATATAGATGGTGCACATGATTATCAGAGGGATGAAGATCCAGGTGAAGAAGCTGAAGAAGACCATGTACTCCATGCTCATGACAGAACGGAAACAGCATGGATGCAAGGTGTCATTTTGGGGGTACCTTGAGGTTTGCTTCCCATTCCAGCCAAGCATGGGGGTCAATCCCACCAGGAAGGACACCAGCCAGCAAAGACCCAGAGCCAGCCATATTCTTCTTTGAGTGGTGACCCTCCTGTATCTGTTCGAATGGAAAAGAACCAGTGAATTCACAGCAGGAATTATGGAGATGGGGAGGAGGTGAGGGTGGGGGGACCCAGCACACACCCTCTCGATTTCTCAATCTTCTGTTAAAAGAGGAGAGCTCTGATAGTCTATGGTGATTCTAAGACAAGACGAGCAGACACTGATTAGAGAACAATTCAGCAGGACTTCTCTAAAGAACAACAATTTAGAATGGGTCAGGGATATGCTGTCTAGAGTCTGGTGTCTGCACACTCCAGTCACGGCTCCATTTGCAGCTCAGGAATTCTTCAATGCCTAGCGTGTAAGATGTATCGAAGTCTCCAGGGATCACCTACCTGGCTATTGTGCAGAGGCTCATAAATTACACTACGCCTCTCCCTCCCTTCCCTCTCCCCGAATCTGCCCCTGTATGTCTATCTGCAGAGTCGTCCACACCAGGCTCTCTCCCCAAGAGAAAAGAGAAGAATCACAGACAAGGCAATTAGGACACATGGGGAATTCAATGTCTCCACTTGGCTGTCTATTCTCCTCACGTAGTCACATGTTCTTTGCACAAAGGAGAACTTTTTTAGGGGAGGGACAAAAGCTCTCGTACCTCCCAAAAAGAAGAAAAAGAAAATATACATTCTACGAACCCCTTTCTCAACATTGTGGCAGGCATAGAATAGTCGCCATGGTCATGTCAAAGTGCTTTAGAGCCCTTACCAGACTATCCAGGGAGTCCCCGTTTCCCCCTTGAAATGTCCCTCTTGGCAGCAATCTACACAGACTGCAAGAGGGACACTAATATTGTTAAGTGCTCTCTACTCAGTAGACTTCAATTAACACTCACAACCAACTGGAGATATGTTTATGATAATCTCCATTTCATGGATGGCAATGGTGAAAAGAATAGTAATTGTAGCTACCATTTATTGAGCACAGTCTATGGAACAGGAATTTTCTAAGGACTTCGCATGTGTTACCACATTGAATCTGATGAGGAAGGTGCAATTATTATTCCCATTTTATAGGTGAAAAAAATAAATAAAAGAAATCACAGACAAGTAACATAAGCAAGCTGGAAATGGTGGACTTGTGATTGAAAGGAGATGAGTCTGGCTCAGAGCATCTTAATCAGAGCATCATCTTATGACACAGACGAGGAAACGGAAATTGAGAAAGTTAAATAACATGCCCAAGGTCAGATTGCAAGGTCAGAGATTTGAACCCAGACTTGTTTACCTACAAAGCTTTACAAGCTCCCTCACCAGGCTCTCCCCCCAAGACCAATGCAATTAGGACACGTGGGGAATTCAATTTCTCCACTTAGCAGTGTGTTCTCCTCACAGAGTCACATGTTCTTTGTACAAAGAAGAACTTTTTTTGGAGGGGGAAAGCTCTCGTACCTCCCAAGAAGAAGAAAAAGACAATATACATTCTAAGAACCCCTTTCTCAACATCGTGGCAGGCAGAGAATAGGAAGCAAAGTTAAAATACTAGCCTACATTTGCAAAGCAACACAACCTTCTGTTTGTCTTCCTCTTATTCCAATTATTCCAATTTCTCCTAAAACATCTTTGCTGTAGGTTTTACTCATTTCTAAAACTCAACAGCATTTTCTATTAAAGATGCATCAAACTTTTTTTTTTTTTAGCTCCTCTGGGGACTGAACACAACCCAGGGTCAGTGGAGAAGGGCTTAGAGCATTCCTCTGAAAACATTCCTGTTTCTCAATGATAAGTCTCAGCTCATCATTGCTAAAATCTCACAAACTCTCACCATATAGTGAGAAGACATTTGTTGTCTTCTATCAACGTCAAAGGCTAATTTGAATTCATTTTCACTGGAAAAGCCTGCAATCTGAACTTTGTAGCCCCTTGACCAAGATGAGGAAACAGAAATTGAGAAAGTTAAATAACATGCTCAAGGTCAGATGGCAAGGTCAGAGATTTGAACCCAGACCCCTGCAGCATCCCATCCCTCTTCAAGCAGGTTACCTGACAGTGAGCTTGACCCGCAGGTATCGGTCCACAGCAATGGCCAGCAAGGACATGATAGAGGCATGGGTGAAGATCAGCAGCACGCAGGACATGAAAAGACAGCTGTAGAAGTGCATTGGGATGTCCAGGCTGATGACAATGGCGAAAGGTATGACCAGCACCCCAACTGCAATGTCAGCCAGGGCTAGGGAGACAATGAAAAAAAAGGTGGTGGTCCTCAGACTGGGGTTCAGCTTGACCACCCAGATGACCAGTATATTGCCCACCATGGCAGAGAGTCCAATAAAAACCTCCAAGGCGATGTAAGGAATTCTGACCCATGGCAGGGTAGTGCTGTTGTCAGACATCATCCTCTCCCAGAGGAACCTCCCAGGTGACCCGTGGGCCAGCAGGATTCGTATCTAGCAGGATTCGCAGCTAGTGAACCTAGCTCTTGCCAGACATCTTCCTGGAAGTCTACAGGCAGCAAGTCTGAAACTCAAAACTCACTCACTGCTTCTCTTCAGCGGTGGGGCAATCTCTTGGAGACCCTCTCCTTAGACAGAACCCATCACAGGATGACCGGTTCCAAGCCCCTTTGTGGGCCACACATCCCTGATCTCCCAGAAACCCGGAGGACAGTTCATTGTGTACTGAATCCGAAAGTGTTGCTGTTCTTAGTTCCTGAGACAGGACACACTCAAGGCCTGTGCCTTCTTCTGCCGCCACCCCCTCCCTGGGCTTTTCAAGCCCCATCAAGATAAGCAACCCTCTTCAGGGTGTTTCAGGAAGTGAGATAGGCCAAGAGGAAGTACAGAGCCAGGGACTCTAAGCAAAAAGATGGAATGAACAGTAGAAGGTGGCGTGAGAAGCACAGAAGAGGCTCAAGATGAGATTACATTTCAGAATCCATTCATTCAGGCACTGGATGAGAGTGGGTGGGTGGAGGAGGAGCTGGAAACACTGACTACATGATACCCTTGCTTTCCGCTTTCCTCGAAGAAGGATCCCGTGATAAAGACACACACACAGGGGAAGCAGAGGAATAAGAATTAGATTTTGGTAACAGCCCCCTAACCTTAGCCAGAACTTATTCCTTCTTGGTGCATACTAGCAAGCACCGAGAATTCAGCTGCAAGTGTAGACTCGTTGCTGAGCACAGCTGGTACCCAGCCTTTGCAACAAGGATCCTTTGTCAAAGGGACCAGCAAAGAATCCCCGCTCAGGAGAGCAAAAGCTCAGCATGTCCAGGGAGCTTCACTGCAGAGCCTCCATCTCGCCTTTGCAGCTTACACCCCCAGAAAAGTCTCAGATGTCTTCTCACTTGCACTGGCCTGTGTCAGACCTATTTGAGGAACAGCCAGACAAGAGGACCACCAGTTGTGCAGAAAAAAGAGGAAAGGTAAGGTGTGTACATAATCACCTGGCAAATTTTTCCACTCTTGCTCCCCAAGCCCAAATAGGAACAGGCTTCTATCCAGGAACCAAACCCCCTTTCTCTAAAGCTGATCACCTGGTCCCCAGCTTCTGGAAACCAAATGCTTGGATGCAATTGTTATTTGGTCCAGGTGCTTTTCAGAGCTGCCCCACAGAAGTCATTTCAACCAGGCAAGTTAGAGAGACAGCAAGAAGGAACACTTGGACCTAAGCTCACAGAAGTGGGATGAAGAGTTCGTAATTTTCACCTTAGGCACCTATATATGTTTTCCGGTCAACATTTTTCAATGAGGCACTTGAGTAAGAGCCTGTCAGGCTCCTCTTCTTCAGCTCTTCTGCACAATCCACTGATCCTCCTTCAACGTCCCAAGTTGGTCCCAGCTGACCCATCTCGTGCTCACCCATCCCGGATGTGTCATTTCTCCTTGAACAAACTCCTCAGATATTCATGGGAAGTCCTCTCCAGCCATATTTCCAATGTTTGCTGTGCCCACACCCCTGTACTGAGGGGGGGCCTTGCAAAAATTCACCAGACTCCCATGTGGTCTCTCATTCATGATTCTACCTCAACTGCTTTCTTTTTCTCTGCGTCAGAAGAGGAAGTTACTGAAAGAAATTTCTACCCTGTTGCATGATAAAAGCCTTTCTTACCATAAAGTACTCTGAATCTTGGTCAATCACAGTTAAAAAAAACAAACAGTTCCCTAACACCCCCTCACCCCCAGCTATCTAGTGGTACCAAATAACCTTATAAGAGACAAAGATCTTCCTATGTAGGGATGAGTGGTGTTGCTTGGTTGTTGGTGACTGTACAGGTAATGGGTGGTTTCCTGAAGGGAGCTGGCTTCCTGGGGCCTGCCTCAGCACAGTCCAACCTGTGAGGCTGAGTATGGATGGACCCTGGCCTGGTGGCAAGACGGGAGCAGAGACTTTGCTGGCGAAGGGGTGTTGCTTATGCAATGGGCAACTCCTACATCTAGCAAGAAGAAAAACTGATGGCTGGTGTGTAGTCATGGTGAAGAAGGTGGAGTGGGGCAAAGGTGGTCAAGGTCAGGAACAGTGCACAAGCAACTGCTCAGCCCTTGGAAGTGGACTGGTGGACTGGCATTATCAGGAACATGTCTGGTACGTGGATCTGGAAACCTGGTCAGTCTGTGCTTTCACATTCTTTCCCCTTTTGTTCTCCTTCATTACCTGGGGAGGTTCTTTTGGAACCAGCCCATCTCTGCTGGGGTAGAAAAACCAGGGAAGGGGGTATGTGTCCAAGACTAGTCACCCAGGAGCGAATAACCCACTGGAAGAGGAAGGGCAGGAGACATACTTGGGGCCACCAACCTAGCCACTTCTTCCCACCTGGGAATTCTGCCCCAACACCTGTGCACCTACCTCAGGGGCTTTTCTGTGAACAAGGCAGGGCCTTCCTTGGTGTTTTCTGAAGAGACACGGGGGTAATTTGAGGGGTGAGGGTCAAGGTTCTACCAGTCACTTTCCATTTCAGCCCATGAATGGGCCCTGAGCGTCCTGTTCACTCTAGATTAAAAATGGAAAGGCTAGCTGGGAGAGAGAACAGACAGGAACCAGGGCACTGGTTGCTTCGTTTACCTGTTCCTCCACCTGCACTCACAGCCCACCCCCAGGCTTGGTTAAGTGTTAACTTCACTGCATCTTCTCTCCCTTATTGGCCTTGGTCCTGAGGTGACCAGAATGATACTGCTGAAACCGCTCCCACCCATCGCCAGTCCCCAAATTAAAAGCCACTTTATCTCCATAGTGCCTCCATATTGCCATTCAAGTCCACGTTCCTTGGGTATAGAACAGCTTTCAGTAGAAGCCCTTCCACAATGGGATCTCACAGTCTCTGCAGGCTCCTGTCACCTGCTTCTCCCCTAGAAACCATACACTCCACCACACCAGGGAACCTGTGACTGGGTCATTCTCTTTCACTTCTTCTCCCCTGTACACACCCTCTCTTGGCCTGGCCAGAGGGCCGGTCCCCTGGAGTCTGCCTAGAAAATAAACTGGCCATGGGTATATAAGGAGAATCATAGAACAGCTAGGACCTGTCAGGTCCTCTCTGTGAAGTCAGGCACCATATTAAACATTTTCTAATTCACGGTCTCATTCAATGTTCTCTGGTGGAAAAGACATTGTCATTACTGCCAAATAAGAGGAGGCTCAGAAGGGTTAAATCACTTGTCCCAGGAGCACAGCTAAGGAAGTGGCAAAGCTGGCATTCAAACCCAAGCTGGTGGCTTCAGAGCCAAGGTTCTGAAGGATAGCCTTTCCGAAGCGGGGGAACACACGAACAAACATAGGCAGGAGCTTTCAGAAGTACAAGGAGCCCCTGGTTTTGATGTTGCTCTATTACCAACATCAGATCAATATCCTCAGATCTGGAAAAGAGAGTGACCCCGACAATTATGGGCACAAAAGCGTAAGATGTTTGGCAACTGCTCAGAGTTAAAAAGAGATGGCAGAACCAGAGACGATTGCACAATCAAGCTGCTGGTGAGGCTGGGCCTCAAGGGGAGTTCTGGGCCAGAAAGAAAACCATTTATGGGATAAAAGTGCAAAACAATAATTTTTTTTTTATAGAGCAATAGAGTATAAGTGAAGTGTGATCCAGGAGATTTCCCCACCTAAAAGGAGAGCCATGCCAGTTTTTAGCTCTACTGGAAGAACTCAACTCCAGGGTTTGCAAATAGCTTCTACTTGAACTCAGAGAATTAACAGCTCTGAAAAATGTTCATTTTAACTTGCATTTTAGTATCTTTTTTGTTTGGGAGAATCTTTTAAAATTTGCCTGTGTGGAGAGGATTTGTTAAGTTAAAACCAGGCATTTTTATTTAAGAAGGTGCACTGAATTGCAATACACACAAGGCACATGAACGGGTGAAAACAACTCTGAGCTGCTGGGGTTGCTCTCAGGACACCCTGGGTATCCTAACTACCTCATATCAGACCATGTGGGGGCGCCAGAGTCAGTCAATATTGTGAATATTCATGAGCTTAATTTCTTTCCTACATGTGTATATATATATATATATATATATATATATATATATATATATATATATATATATATATTATTTAAAGTGTTTAAAAAAAAAAAAACCTCCATTACACTGCAGCAGCAAGAATCTGGAGGAATCATAGGCCCTGAATTGCAGGGAAAGGCCTCACTAGTCCCACACTCGGGCCTGGAGCCTCCTGGGGCCTGACACACCTAGGCGAAGCTGCAACTTTGCCCCTGGGGTTCTGCTTAACATCCTGAAGGGCTGGCCAGAGAGACAATTCATTGGATCTTTTGCAAGCATCCCAGAAAAGACTAGAAAACTTTACTGCTCACCTCCCCAAACTGCAAAGAACAGTGTTTGAAGAAACTCGAGGGGAGGACTTCTGGAGCCCTAGAACTGTCGAGACAGGATGTCGGGCGGCAGGGGGGGAGGTGGCAGCTGCTCCCCAGGGCTCTTTTGCTGACTGCACTGCACAAAATCAGCCTGCTCGCTTCCCCTTGGCTCCATCACCACTTCCCCAAAACCTCTTATTTTTACACAGCTTTAGGTTTGCTGGCCAACAGCAGAGGCTTCCAAAGAACCAGAGCTCAGAGTCACGCCCGAAGGTAGCTCGCCCGCGTGCCCGCTCTTCACCATGTTCCCTTCTCTGCCTCTCTGCCCAGCTTCCTCTATGAGGCTGATCTGGAGCCACCAGGATCTTCTTACTCTGGCCTAGTCTTTCCAGCCACTCCAGCTGGAAAGTGGAGCTGGGACTTGCAAGGCGGTAAGTAGAGCTTAGTGCTGGCATAAGGAGAGGTGAAGCCTGGGAAGCCAGGTCAAAGGTCCTTAGCCCCAAATTAGGAGAAACCCTGCCCAGAGAAGGGGACCTGCAGTGGGTGCCCAGCCCCCACCTGCCATCCACCCATCCACATGGAGCGTATCCTAAGGTCTCCTACTCCAAGTGGAGGATCTAGAAGAGGGTTCAGCTAATCCTAAAGTTGTTCCAGGTTCTAGGCACTCAAAAAAAAAAAAATGAGGAAGTGTTTGCACTACCTTGAGTCTTAAGCAGTAGTATCAGTTTTAAGCATCTGAAAAGCGTATTCCCGCGTCCTTGCTGACGCGCTATGCTCAGCAGTGGCCACCAGATGGCAGCACCTTTCCACTGCCAAGAACTTCAAACACAGCCAGCGACCTCAGAGGCTGCAGACCTCTGAGAAGTGAGAACCAAGGGAGACACGAATAGATAGATAGGCCACTGCCTACATGCACTCCAGTCCCACATAATGATCCAGGACGGTACCAAGTGCAATCCT